CCTATTACATGGGACTAATTACATAAATAGTGAAAAGTGGGTGTTACTTCTGTGTGCACCTCTGCCTACCCCTTCGGGGATAAAAAGGCGTGATGTTATGTAATACAAATGATAATCAATAATTTAACAACACCGAAGAGATGATTATTAAGTCATATTGCTTGATCCAATCTTATTAACTGGAGTGTACTTTTATTACTGACTGCCTCGTTGGCCGAGTGGTCGCAAGTGCGACTGCCGGGCAAGGGGTCTCAGGTTCGTTTCCCGGGTCGAGCAAATTATTACTGGGTTTTTAAAAAAAAATCTCAGTAGTAGCACGGAGTCTGGAATGGTGCCTGGTATATGACAATAGGCTCACCCGTTATTACATGGGACTCATAACATAAATAGTGAAAAGTGGGTGTTGCATTGTACAGTGGCATAATGTACACATCTGCCTACCCCTTGGGGATAAACAGGGTGGTTATGTTTATGTACCTTTATTAGTAAACCACTCAAATTCACTGACCGAGGTATTAATGTACTATAATTTACTTCGACGATCCCGTCGAAAAGCTTTTATTCCCTTGAGATAGGATGAGGCAATGTTTAGGGTAATGCCAGTCAGTCGCAAATACTTAATGCTTAATGTAGTCTTTGGTAGCCAGCAATTTGATAATAAACGATGCTCTCTGAGAACGTTTATTGTCCTTAAGGCTTAATATTGCCATTAAATTATTCATCTGGGCACTGTTAATGAATCTCTAACTTCAGATCTTCAGTAAATGGACATGAACTTACGACGTCGTCAATTTGGACCTATTCATACGAATAGTAAGTACAATGGCACAATTTATCTAATGATTGAACTGAATTCATCGTTGTGTTGATACAAGAGGGGACAATTTGTCACTTATTGCCTCATTCTTGCGACTCATCGAAGGTCGATGTGTAAGTCAAATGTTAGGTCTGAGGCCTTAGTACGAGTTTCATTTACGTTTACAGTATTCGAAACGATTACGCGTTCGGCACTCTGATTGGCCGGCGCCAATGAACCAACCAATCAGAGTGCCGAACGCGTACCCGTTACGATTACTTTAAACGTAAAACAAACTCGTACTAAGGCCTCTGTTTACAGATGTTCAGTGTAGCTTAAGTTCATTTGTCTTTTACAGTTAACGATAGCGATTAAATAAATTGATTAAATTACTATAACTGAGATTTATTAGTGTAGTAAAATAAATACTAGGGGGTTAATTAATTGTTAATTCTTAACAGCAATGCAAGTCAAAGTGACTTATAGAAGTCAGACAGAAAAGAAAATAGATGAATACTAAAATTAATGGTGCGACTACAGAAACAAATAAAAACGTAGTGCTGTAAAATACATTACAAAAGACGCTTTTAGACAAATTAAACAGTTGTTACAAACAAAATATAAACAAAATGTGCTAATGAATTCTGCATTCTAAAGAGTAGACACTAAGACACTGTTCAGGTTAAACTTTTGTTTAGCGTTCCTCTGTGTAGAAAAGTAGAAACTATCTTGGACTTGGGGGCAAGTAAAAGCTTTCTACAGAAGTATACGGGAATGGAAACACATTAACTTAACTAACCTGGGTCGCATTGGGAAACTAGCCGTAGTTTTCTGACTTTCAAGTTTTCTACAAGAACAGAAGTTACACTAGATGGTACACGACTTCGTTATTAATTTGTATGTGTTTGTTAGTTGGAATGTTAACGATGAAACTTGACAGACACTTCTGGAATGTATACAAAACATATACTTTTTTATTTATAATAAATAACTTTCCGCGCCGACGACGTAGGTTTGTACCTACGTCGTCGCCGCGTAATTTCAGCACCCGACGAGGTAGTCCCCATTTCAATTCCATAAGTCAAGTCAGGATAAATAGTAGCATAAATTAGCGTTTGATAAGTCCTAGAACTCTTAAAATCGAATCAGTGTTACTTATTTGGGTCTATTCTTACATTCATCAAAAACAACACAATAGTAGTCGCGGAGAACCTAACGGGTTACCGGGGTTCCGGCTCGACGTGCAGGAGGAACGGGGTGGTTTTTAGTCAGTAAGAGTCTGACACTCCCTCCCGCCTCACCCAGGCGGGAGCAGTCATTTGATGATTTTCCCCCCTTAAAAAAAATACTACAATAGTAGTCCTCTGGTGTTGCGGGTGTCCATGGGCGGCACTGATTGCTTACCATCAGGTGATCCGTCTGCTCGTTTGCCTCATATTCCGTAAAAAAATCTTGAATAATTTTGTTTTATGTGACAGTGAACTCGGTAACAAAATAATTATATTTAGGTCAATCCAGTAACAATTATATAAACATTTAGATGACTTCTTTATATTCGCATAAAATAAAATGCGACGATAATGGCACTGTTTTACAAGGGTCACGATATACTGTGATAGTGATAGTGATATACATATCATAACATCACGCCTTTTATCCCCGAAAGGATAGGCAGAGGTGTACATTATGCCACTGTACAATGTAACACCCACTTTTCACAATTTATGTTATGAGTCCCATGTAATAGGGGATGAACCTATTGCCATATACCGGGCACAATTCCAGACTCCGTGCTACGGCGCTACTACTGTGATTTTTTAAAAAAAACCCCAGAAATATTTTACCCGACCCGGGAATCGAACCCCATATACAATGATATTATATTATAAGTAAAATGGTATAGATAGGCTATAAGCGATCAGGGGCACGTTGCAATGTATCTAATTGGTCACATTTTTCGTCAGAATTGTGTTGCGCTGTCAACGTATTCATTTGTGCGTTACTGTGCCGTGGTTGAAGACCAAATATTGAAAACATGCAACGACAGCAGAGTAAAGTACCTTTGGTAACACTTCTACTCCTTCTGCCGGTGTTATAAAACCTGACTGGAATACACAAACTTCTGAGACTGATAAATGGATAAACCTGACCTTTAACAAGTACAAACCCACGTTTGCCAAAAGAGAATATAGTTTTTTTGTAAATAAAGAACACCTCTTATGTAGAGAAGACTGTTCTAGCACTGGACTGCATACGCCGCTCGAGGAAGAACCCCTCAGTGGTTCGAAACTAGTAGAGCTTCTCATATATTCACTGCTTGTATATTTACGTGAGTAACCTGCGGTTTTAGTTAATTTAGCACTGGACTATCTAAAATTTAATATGGCAATAATAAAAATAGGTACGTAATATATTGTGCACAAATAGGTTGTAGGTTGTAGGTTACTAACATATTTATCCAGTAAACTTTGACACAAAATATCGATAAACACTTCCTAAATCCAATGATTACAACATTTTAACATTTCGTTTATTTATTATTCGAAAACTCGAGGCCAAGCTTTTGACCGGCGTCAGGGTCACTGGTTTGCAAAAACTGGTTTTGTAGCGTACGACTTGCATTTCAAGTAAGGGGACAGTAATTGACAGGCACCCTTCCAGGCTAGTGGGTTCAACCATCTTGTGCGTCAATAGTCGACAACGTAACGGCTTACGAATTATATATTTTCCATTATAGTACGCAATGCTATTATGCCTTCAAAATGTAGGTTGTAAACAAATACATACATACATCAACAGCCTATAAATGCCCACTGCTGAGCAAAGCCTCTTCTCACACGGAGAAGGTTTGAGCATTAATCACCACGCTTGCTCAATGCGGGTTGGCGATTACAAACTTATAATTAGAAATTATAAGCCCAGGTTTCCTCACGATGTTTTCCTTCATTGTATGTCAGTGGTGTCTAAATAATCTTAGAAAGTACATATAACTCGGAAAAAGTCACATTGGTACTTGCCGTTGGTAGGTTTCAAACCCACACCCTCATGCATGAGAAGCGATAGTTTTTTTAAACCTCCAGGCCACCACGACGAGTTTGTGTATGTGATAATAATTGAACCTTTATCATTTTAAAAGGTCAAGTCGAAGAATTAGTCCTCCCAGAAGATATAGACAGACAACTTATTTCTGGAAGTCATTTGTGTCCAAATACTTATGAATAAAAAAGCCACACAAGACAACAAACATTTTAGTGCCTTCCTATTAAAATACTTTTGGAAATTAGCAAAATAAACAGATAAGAATAATGATTTGTTAAAATTTTAAAATATTCCGGATTGGATTAACAGCGACGAACGACGTACATATATTGCGCACGAAATAACAGTGCGACTTCTCCATTCAATGTACTTGACAATCAGTAATTATGACTTAGCACAAATAATGGTTACAAACAGACAACATTTTTAGCAATTCCATAATTAATACCTGTTGAACTGATGATCATAAGCAGTTCAATAAGGTTTAACACCAACACTAACCCATAAGTTCATTCACAGATCCAATTGAAGTCAATGACAACAATAAAATTGACCTGAACTAAATAGCTTGTTCTATCAACATAAACACAAAGCTTACGTAAGGAATTACTTATTATCAAACAGTAGTCAAAAATGTTACTCATAAACTGTTATTAATTAACAGATAACAGGTATTTTGATAAAGATTACTACACTACAAGTTCGGTGTTTGACCCCACATCTGATCAATGTTCCCTGATTATTTTAACCTCTTGACGTAAACCTCTCAAGCTTAACGTATTTGGAGAGTCAATGGTGCATTTGTTTATTTTTCTTAATAAATATTACCCACCAATGAAAGTTTCAAAATGTTTTTTGAATAAAATTCATCTTATACTTTAAGAATATTTTGATAATTATGCTGGGCAGTAGGCATTATAATTTTTTAAGTTTAATTTTAACAAAATTGTTATTTAATAATTATATACTTTATCAGAGATTATTTGTTTTGTAAAAGTCTTTTTTTTTATATTTTCTGGTCAGTACCGATAATATTATTTTTAATCAAAACTATTCTATATAATTTCAGATTAGTTTCTATCCATAAAATATTGCCAATTTTACTAAACTACAGTGAACTTATTGGAATCTTATAAGACAAAATAATAATACACGGGATCCTTACCTGGAGATGATCACTACGGGATCTCGAGTTGTTGGATGTAACAGGGTCTTTTGACGGCAGCAGTTCAGTTAATATAATGAAACCAAACACCGCAAAGAACATAATAAAGATGAAACAACTGATATTGGCGCGCTCTTTGGCGCGGTATGGAGTCGCGCTCCACCTCATCGCGGCGCACCGTGCTCTCGCATGGGCACTAGCACAACAAGACAGTGGCGGCTAACGCGCGCGCCACACGACTGAATCACCAGGAGCGAAGCGCCATTTCACCGCGCTGTCACCGCGAGCGGCGTCAAAACACAACACGACGCCTTCCCACACTAACTGACTAACGTAATACGCAATGGTGGATTGACAGAACTCCCCTCATCCTCCACAATATTTGATACAATGGCCAATAAAACGTTTCAAAAAATGATTTAACCATTAATTTTTCCAACATAATTAACTTTTACTATGATTTTGACACTTTACAACTGCTAGAAAAATGTATTATACCGAGTTTTTGTAAGAATATGCCCAAGATATTGTAATATTTCCATCATGAATGCGGTTTGTTAGAAATAGCAACCCAATTTGGTAGATATCATTTACGCATGCGCGCCCCCGCCCTCCGTTCAATGACTTGTCGCTCAGTGTAAAGAGTCTAGCCACACAAGGAGAATGTATCTACTGTAATGTAATGTATCAGCTGTCCACAAGGCTGTCCAATTCATCCTTAAGATTCTTAGTGAGCAGTATTTCTGATACGAAAATTCAGTTAACATGTCTAGGTTTTAGAAAATAAGTTTAGGTACGCAATAGGCCTAGACATCTTCCTATCTATCTATTTAAACATATAATAAAAACAATAAAAATTTCAATACTGTACAAACAATATTTTTGAAACCATACAAAAACACGGTGATTTCGGAACAGTAATAGAGTACCTACATAATATTTGACTTTAAAAAAGTCTGTTCGTATGTTTGCACAGATTAGTTCCGGAGCAATATCCAGAACTAACGGAAGTATTAGAATTAAACTGTCAAACACCAAGCGGTCACCGGTGACCGCAACCTATTGTTCTATAATTGTGTCTACAAAACCGGTACTCGACGAGTTAAACTATATTAATTGTTGTATAGCTAATTGGCCTGGATAACAAATTCGTATTAAAAATTTAAACAAAGAAAAATATGCCCTAAAATTAATATGCACTATTTACATGTGAGTGTACCGTGACTTTTTCAATTAAAATATTTGCATCTAATTTGGTTCGGTCGGAGGCTATCGTGCCCAATTTAGGTAAATATTTGTGGGTGTGAGTTCGAATCTCATCAAAATGACTTCTTTTAAAATAGGTAGTAGTAATGACCTAATAAATTAATAATAAGTATTACGGAGCTACGCCATAAAATGTTATTAATGTTATTCAAATATACATCATAATAAACATGTAATTATGTAGGTATCAAAAGCTCGACAGCCGGGCAAGAAGTTTCTGATTTGGATCGAATCGGCCAAGCCTAAGTATTGTTTTATTTTCGGATTTTAAAATGAATTCTCAGTAATAGCACGGAGTCTGAAATGTTCCTAATGTATGAACAATAGGTAGGTAAAAGAAAATTAGAAGAAATTGGTGTTACATTATGTATGTACATAATTGATATGTGCGTCACTGCTTATCCCGTACCAACTACAAAGAAATACCTGCTAGGTAGGTATCATTATAATGTATTCGCATTTCTTTTTCCCTCTGCAAAGTAAAGGCCTCTTCTCACTCTCAATTCTCACTCAATTACTTATTCAATTTAAAAAAAAAGGGTTCACCAAAATGTATGCACGCCCATAACTATCAAAAGACTGCATCGAATTGGATAATCCTTTTTTTGTCGTGTTCGTTATCGTTGGGACAAATTTTGTATAAAAGCAAGATTCAATAGATTAATTAGAAATATCGGGAAATAATACCCAGCCGGTGCGTGGGTGGCCAGCTAGTTACTTGTAAATGAAAGTTTTCTCATGATGTTTTCATTCGTTGTGTATCAGTGAGATTGAACGTATGAAATATAAAAGTACGACTTGGAAAGTACTAGGTAACCCTATCACACCTTTATTATTGTTTTAATCATTATCTAATCGGATATTTACAACTTAAAATTAACTACAACTAAACTATTAAATTAAACGAAAGTAAAAAAAGGAAACAACAACAATTATACCCTTAATTTAGGCGTCAAAGTTTTCGTCCGCATCAATATCACAGGGGAACGTTCCCAGAAGACTGGCAGCATTGCCACGTTGAATGGCAATGCTTATTTTCTGTCCGAAGAAATAGCCAGCCCTCTGATCACGTGTAGAGTCGATTAGCCTACGGGCGATGTCTTTAAAAACAGAGTGTGCACTAAGTCCCTATGGCCCAATTGTTTTGACCCCAAACGGCTCAAAATAGCAGTTACAGAAGCGGCTGCACCAACGCAGCGGTACTTAGAAAATGTGATAACGCAAGGGCGTCTACACACGTCGCGTCCCACACCAAAGGCCTACTCATCTTCCAAGGCAGCAACAACATACCATCTGGTCTTTTGCCATCATCACGTACCAAACCATTAGGTTCTAATACGGCTGGTATTTTTTTTTTTAAGGGGGAAAATCATCGAATGACTGCTCCCGCCTGGGTGAGGCGGGAGGGAGTGTCAGACTCTTACTGACTAAAAACCACCCCGTTCCTTCTCCTGCACGTCGAGCCGGAGCCCCGGTTACCCGTTAGGTTCAATACGGCTAGTATACCGGGTGAGGCAAGAGTACGACGAATGATATCGTTGATGCTGGCATGGCGAGCTATGCGGCCTGCGCTTCTGCAACAAGAAAGACCATGGTGTCCCAAGCCATCGGCTCTTTCTCCACAGTGACAATAATGCAGAGAAACACAAGGAGCACCTAAACGTAAGCATACATCTAGGGGGAACGTTATGTCATCCAACATAGTACCTATGAAGGGTGACGGGAGTGCCTGAAGCCACAATCCTGATTCTCATTCTCTCACAGCCAATAAGCGAGCGAGCTCTGCAGTATTAGAAGACGAGTTGATTGACTCACGAACAACACTGCACATCGACACGTCCCACTGTCACTGAGAAGGTGGGGGAACAGGTAAATCCGTAAGTGGGCTAGCCATTTTCCACGCTTCCACTGCATCAGTCAAACACGGACCTCAAAACTGGTCAGTGATGAAGAAAGAATTTTCCTGACTAATTCAGAGGTACTGTGGACCGATGACAGAAAAGCTGGAAAGCATAAATTGGCACCTGCCAGATCTCCAACTCACATTCTACATGTGCCTACATGTGCCCACCTTTGCTTTTTAATCTGAATGCTGAAGAACACTGCACGTCGTACCTAAGTAGGTACATAAAGTTAGAAAAAATCTGAAAGAGAGGACCATTTCTTTGTTTCCAAAACCATTCATTACCATAGAGGAGGATCTTCTTAGATCAGTTTTTAAACCATTTGTGCTACTACAGAAGTAGTGTAGGTACACAGACGACTACACATTAACCTATGCAAACCCAGTATACACTTACCAATGAATAAGTGCAGAAAGGTCATAAAAAAGATCTTCATCATCTATGATGACAAACTGAAAAGTACAAGAAGCCTTTTTACCTCTTTAGTCTTATCTCTATATTTATCCATTTCATTAGTTTAACACAACATTAACGGATACAGCTGTGACGCCCCCTGTGTTTATGATGCACCCACATCTCAAACATTTTACGAACTGCACGCGTGCATCTTTATATTAAAACGCCACACGCGCTCAATTTGCCAGGTGATCGTGAATGATTCGCAAGCTGCGTTTGGTCAGTGCATCCACAATAAATAAAATTGTTATGAAGACGAAATTAAGTTGACGTTTCACAAATGAGAAGAGAAGATAGCGCTGCATTCATTTTTAAGGGGGGAAAGCATCGAATTCCTAGGAAAAGCGGGAGGGAGTGTCAGACTCTTATTGACCATCCCGTTCCTACTCCTGCCCTTCGAGCTGGACCCCGGCAACCCGTTAATTCCTCCGCGGTGGTCTGATAACTCTTTGAGGCGCGCGTGGAAAGCGACATGCCATGCTCGCCGTCCGCAGGCCCGCGCTTATGGTGGGCTGAGATCGTCCGGCGATCCCTAAATCGTTAATCTGACGAAGGCTTCGTTATTAAAAGGAAAAAAGTAATAACATGTTTTCATTTGTCATCATCGCAACGTCTTTGACCGCCAGGCGATGTAATAAATATACAAACGCCGACATAAATAAACAAATAATACTACTAAAATCAAACTTTAATTTTAGTAGCATTATTAGTCCTGGACCTGAATTATTAAGTTACTTTGATAATAAAATAAACTTAATAATTCGGATTTTGATAATCAAAGTAACTTAATAATTCAGGTCCAGGACTAAACTCTATGCCAAGACCTAAGAATAAAGAGCAACTCTATCATCTGTCTATTTTAAATGTCAAAGTCAAATGTCAACTAATCAACTGTCATAATTGCGATCCCGTAATTTTTACTTCGTCGTAAATTCAGTTCATCGAAACTCGAGGTGGATTTTATTGGATTAGAATAATGACAAAGGACGAAGTCACTGAAGATACGAATGCTTATAGAGGATTTATTAAAGCCCTTTATAGAACAATCGATGGGCCCGTAACTTATTTCCGAGGTAAAATTTTATAAGTTTACAGCATTGATTGTTATGTAAGTGCGATGCAAATAATGATGTTGTTATTCTTTAGAGAAGGTTGTCGAGCCGAACCAGAAGAAGTATCCGTGGTACCATCAGAAGTTCCGTCGTGTGCCAACCATTGACCAATGCTACGATGATGATGTCGTCTGCGATTTTGAGGCGAACGCTCAGTTCAAACGTGATAGGTTAGCAAAGCATTATTCTCTTGCAAATGCTATGTGATAATAACACGCCGTTTATATAGATAGTTTTTATATTTTCATTAATATCCAACATAAATCCTGTTTTTCTCTTCCTTGGGCATCATGCAACTATGATAATAACAATAATTCGGTCTTTTAATCTAATTTTAATGAATTTGTATGTCACAGTTTAATATTTCCAATTATGTTTACCTAATTGTAATATCACTGATTACATTTAATGGAATCTTACTAAAACACAAGCATCATTCTACACAACACTAGATTTAAAATAGACTAGTTTAAAAATTGAGAGACAAATTTGTAGCTTATATCTCATGTAGATTATGATTATCTCATGTACATTTGTACATTACTGAACTATATTTTTTTCATAGGGCTGTTGATTCCGAAATCCTAGGAATTCTGCGTCAGCGTTATGAAGACTGCATGGTCTATGAACGCCCCGACCACGCTAAGCAATGCAAACCTCTTTGGGACAAGTACAAGGAATCTGAAGAGGCCTGGTTTATCAAATGTAAGATTTTTATTTTTTGTGGATAAATTGTCTAATAAGTATCATAGGTCCAATAAGAAAGTTAGAGTATAATATTTAATCTGCCAGTTTTTTTGCAATATTATTTGCCTGCAGATTTTTGTATCTTGTAATTTATTGCCTTAACCCGTTGAAATCCATCCCCTAAATTTGGTCATACAAAAGTAGTCTCTAAACATTAAAAATAAGGTCTATAATGTAATGTAATATTAGTGGAAAGCGGTCACCGGTGACCGCTTGGGGATTTATGGGTTAATTTTATTTAATCCATGAACTATTGTTTGTAGAAAGTAGTTAATATCTTGTACTAGGTATGTTGATGTTTTTCTAAAAAGCAACAGCAAGCCTAGTATCACACTTTTAAATGTTTTTATAACCTCATTGTAAATACAACGGTACAGAAGATAAAATGGAATATCTATATTACTGGATATTCATTGAAATTTCGATTTCAAGGTAACTAATGTTTCAGTCCATTGAATTAACTCGTCGAGTACCGGTTTTGTAGACACAATTATAGAACAATAGGTTGCGGTCACCGGTAACCGCTTGGTGTTTGACAGTTTAAATAACAGCCTCACATGAAGAGGGGTGCTTTTTATGTCAGGCTGTTATTTTGAACAATGAAAATTCTGTTTTATGTTTAAGAGATATACTAAATGAACCAACCTTTGAAAAAACTACCCATTAACCTATTTTTTACCAGAACGCAGATCCATACGAGACACAATTTGTATTTCCTATCGTGTTTTGTATACTGGCAATCAAGAAGTTAAATAAAACCTTATTCACATCATATTTTCATCACTAGAGTACCTACTATCAACTGATTTTATTTTAGATGGTGATCTCGGCGCATATGCTGATGCTCGCAAAGCGTACATGAAACAAAAGCACCGCATGGTCTGGGAAAAACGCCACGGACGCCTGTCGGACCTGACAGGTTAAATAAAACTGCAATATATGTGTTATACTATCTAAGTAGGTTCTGCTGTTCAAATAAACAATGTAAATTATAGCATATGGTTGTATTATTTATTCTTTATTTCTCAAAAATTGCTGCTGTGGACGAAATTGTGCATTTGTGCTGTTACTTAAACTTAATAGCTATACATACATAATTTTTCAATCATAGAACAAAGTTAGCATTAATAGCAACTGGAATAGCAGTGATCAAAACTGAATTGAGGTGACAAGCTGTACTACAAGCAAGCAATGAGATATCCATAGCAAGAGGTGACATATTACCTAATAATGTAACAAATAAATTGATCAAAATAATAAATGAAAGATACAATAAATTATTGAAAAAATAACATTTATTTTCCGACACATTCATCATACATGCAATACTGAAACGACTAATTCAAATACATCGATTCACTAGTTAAAACTATAACAAATAATCACAGAATTACGAAGATGTAGGAAAACTTTTATGAAAATGTTACATCTTCCTGTAATGAACTTTGAATGCATACTTAATTCTACCTTACTGTTACAAAATACATAGTTATTGGTCAGAAAATAAAACAACAGCTTATAAAGTACTTAAATGTATCTTCACTACAGTCTTAGAGAACATGGTAATTAAATTTATAAAGGCCGGCGTAGACTGACGCCTTGGCATGACACAGCGTGCTTCAGATCAAAGAACGCTATATTCAGCCACTCATTCATATTCAACTGGTTTCATTCCCTGCGGGTCTAAAGTTACTTGTGTCGATATATTTGACTGAAATCTACTTGAAATTTAATACAAACTGATAAAATAAAGAAACGATCTGGATGCATCAATTGTGGGAAACTAAATGTACAAAATTAAATGGTGAACCGCAGCCGTCTGGTGTTTGGCACGGCACGCCAAGACGTGCCGCGACGTCAGTCTGCGCCAACTTTCAATCTTAAGTAACATTATGAATTGCTGGACAGTACTCCGGCCCTATGTGAACGCAGTCACAATCAGAAATTACAATGGTCATAAAATTAAATAGATAGAAACCTTATTTAAAATATCTCGTTTCAATAGATGATCTGATGGCCAATACTGATGTACAAATGCGGACTGGCAGAAAAAATATACTTCAAATATGCAAGAACCCGCTTACATACAAATATAAAACAAAATTATCTGTAAATAATTTCGGAATTAAATATCGTAGTTCCACATTATCGAGAGTATAATATTTTATTACTAAAATGTTCATACTTTGTACCAATTTAATAATCAAAATGTAATATTATGTACACTATATACATACCTACGAAAATATACCGTCGACTTATGATTACAAAACTCTTGCTCATACTAGAAAATATTTGTGATCGCTTATTACATCGAGTTGAAACCAAGTATGGCATTCAATGGTACAGAAGTATCACAGTGGTAATTAATGCCTTAGAATACAGACTAAATCTCAAGTCTATTTACAATTATTAATCATTAGCTCATCACTTCTAACATTTTTATAATTAAATAAATCTGTTAACACTATTTCCAAATTATATTAACTAAATAAATTATCACTATGGCTTATTGCAGGTTGCTGTCGTTTTAAAACATATGTTAGACAGACAAACCCTTGATTAGAATAATTATTTTAGATATAAAAAATAAAAATAAAAGGTACAATAAAATTAAACCCATGAAACATTGCTAGAAAGACTAGAGGAATTAATTCCCATTTACAAAAAATGGTTGTTTACAAACTTACGACCAATGTGATATAATTAGTGCACATTATTATAATGTCTAGTAGAGGATAATTTGGCCGAATATAATATCTAACTAGTGCTTTGGTACAAATTATTAAGTCTGCTTCCACAATCAGAAGTTAAAGCTTACTGTGCGTGATTTAGAGGCCAATAACGTTACAAAATACAATAATCACTTGTATTGCAACGAGAGCAAATGGAACTTAAATCAACGTCTTTCTTGGGGAACTATGTGGAACTAGGAGATTTAATTAAAGAAAAACACAAACGATTGTCATAAAATTAAAGCAACATCGCACTAGGCACGAGCATATTCTATCAAAGCAATAATAATATCACCTACATCTACATTCATTGAATACTCTTATAAAACCTTTGAACGTTTTTAATTGACGTCATTAAGGCCAGTTCGCAAAAGTGAGATTCAACAAACAACTGGCGTATTACGTAAACCACCGTAGAACATAGAACTTAACATGAATGTAAATGTTATCTAAAATTACATAAATTCGAATGTGATCCACCTACACAATGAGAAAAGAAATAGGTCTGTACAATAATTTGAAGAGTAATTTCGAAATAATACAAGCAAAATACATGCAAATAGATTTGTGGCTGAAATATATTAAACGATAAAATTCTAGGACAATCAACATGTTGTATGATCATTGTACTTTTCGTGGGCATCCGAAAAATGTTACAAGTGCTCGAGATGTTTATTTTAATAAAACTTAGCAACTATTCTTAACATATTTTGAGCCTCAAATCAATGATATGTACATTTAGTTTTTATTATTGTTTTATTCGTATCAATGGCAGTAACATTATCTACTTACAAATTATTACGTAGATAACATACTGTAAGATCTTTCATAAACTTATTAGTACCTTAAAGTATCATTTGAAGCTTGTTCAGTCCTTTGTTACGTGAAGAGCCACAAAATATAAAATATAAGAAAAAAAATCTGTATATAAAATGTCAAAATATAAAATAAAACAAGGTAAAATTGAATAGAGTTACGCAGTTACACTGTTGTAAGGTCTAAACAATTCTATATAATAGTTCAACAAGTAACTTTGAAAGACTAGCAGCCTGTTTCACAAAATCTGATTAACTTTATTTTTGTTAGTCTTAGCTGACGGATAATTTGGTGTTTCCCGTAACAAAGGAAGTCAAAATATCTGGCAGCTAAGCGAGCAGTAACTTAATCAGACATTGTGAAACATACCTTGAAACAACACACGAAACTGACTCATTGGATACATGAAATATAATAGTTAGTCAATTAAAACAAAACATTATAATTTACACACTAAGATAAAGTAAAAGAAGACTTCGGTCAAGATGATTCTTACGACTTACCTCTTTGTACATAGACGGGGAACATTAGTTTTATATCGGCACTTAAAACATTTGACGAATGCACCATAAGATTTCTTATACTAAATAAACACATAAAAATATAAACATCTAAAATATTATTGTTACAGACATCACAATTTATTGGACACTTACATAAGTCTAGTAGTTAAAATTCGTTGCGACCCTGATGCACATCACTCCAAAGTTTCAGGTGCCGCGTTTGGAACACGTATAATACTAACCTACATCAAAAATAAGGAATGCATCTTCTTATACGACGCGGTGGGATTATGGACCTTCGAAGTGAGCCGCCAAACGAATACGACCTGGTCGAAAACATAATAGTTAAATACAGAAATAAATAGTGTGTATTTATTTCCTACCAAACCTTATAATAAATGGCGATGAACTTATACTATAATAACTTATAATTCTTTCTATAAAAGTGCCATTAAAATTAACCTCCAAAAGTGTACTAAGGATTGATGACCAAAATATGCAGATCAACTTAAAATAATTAATGCGTAAATTGCTTAAAAATTATCCAGACTGAGCAAGAGGAATGTTTTTATAAGCCACTGCATAAATATGTATCAAAGTACGAAATTAAAATAATAATTCTTACGTCTGTTCTCGAGGTTAAGAAAAGCAGTAGGAGTGGGCAACGCGCTGGCAGGTGGGGAGCACCATATGTTGTTCTTTGGCGATTCAAACACACGGGAGCCCTGAAAAAATATCGCTTATTATCATCTCGAAGACTAAGTACACCTTATATAGCAATTATGTTACGAAAATAAGATTTGTAGTACCTTCTGTCCCGGTGGTGTATCATGAACGGAGTAATCCTCGTGCGCAGGGCCTGGTATGAGTTCCCGACATCGCGGTACCACGAGACCGGGGCATAAGGTCCAGCGCCCAGTCTCGTTTTCCGTGAATATCTCCATGTAATGACGAAGGAAATCTGCCACACCCTCTGCACCTGTGAAATGAATTTGTTTGCTGTTAGTACATCAAAATAACATCATTATATCATCGAAAAATACTGAATAATGATCTTCATCATTATCAAGCTTAATGAGAAATTTTACTCACTAGGATCAACTCCAGGGAAGACAGGTTCATAACGACGAGCAAACTCGATGAATATTTCTTCGGGCGAAGCGGGCGTAGCGCGGTCCGTCAGTAGCTGTGCGAGGCGCCAGACGACGCGCCACTCGGGCGACACGTTGAGGCGCTGCTCGCTCAGCACGATGACGCCGGCCGCCATGAGGCGCCGCAGCTCGGGCTCCGCCCCCCGCAGGCGGCGGTAGGCCGCCGTGAAGTACTCCAGCGTGGAGCCCCGCGCCACACTACGGTCCCCGCACAGCACCGCGCACGCAGTCAGTAGGCATCCCGCCCAGGTAGGGGACCCTCCAGGGGCCACTACTATATTGTTCTCAATACAGCCGCCCGCAGCGTACACCAAACCTTCCAGTGTATCAGCTTCCAACATGTCAGGCTGCAATATGATTACGTGAAAATTGACACATGTGACACCGTTATTATGTAGGTATCGGTAAAGTATAATTTGCTGTGAATGAAAAGTATGATGAATGATCAGATGAGGTGATGAATCTACATGAATTTGCCAAACACTCCTAGCAGTTTTATGTAGTAAACGTAAGATAGTTGGTTTTGTTTTTGTCGGATCAGTTGCGTGTGATCAATGTCGTACAGAAGACTGGGTGTAGTAGTGGTCCGAGTGTCGGAGCGGTGCCGGTGTACCTGCGGCGGCGCGCCGTAGTGGTGCGCGTAGTGCAGCGGCAGGTCGCGCAGGGCGAGCGCGGGCAGCGCGCGCAGACGCCGCGCCAGCAGTGCGCGCGCCACGCCGCCGCGCAGGCGCACGCTGCGCTCGGCCGCGCCGGCGCCGCACACCGCCACTGCCTCGGGGATGAGCTCGAACAGTTCCAACAACTTGACGCAGCCGTAGTGCGCCACCCGCAGTTGTCTCCCGAAGTGCGCGTGGTAGGCGGGCACGAAGCGCGAGAACTCCATGCGCAAGTTGGCCGTGTGCCGCAACAGTTCCACCGCCTGGTGCAACGTACGCTACTCCGATACCGATCTCACCAGTTTTGCCGAATATACGCGTCGCCTCGATAAATACGCAGCCGCACTTATCAAAACCACAAGCATATTCGCCAAAACTACCGATTTGCCTAACACCCATAATACAACTCTTTAAAAACAATCCTTCCACCACCCGAATAAATAAAATCCTAAATATTTCCGTCAAATATTATTATCACGCTTAAAAAAGTACCTAACCGTAGCTTACTAAATATACAATGATTCACACTGCAATCATTAATCCACCAACCAAGGCAAGTATTTGGCAATAACTTAAACACTTGATGATGCTCAAAGTAATGATTAAATGATGATGTATGATGAGATGATGACGTGCTTACCTGCATGGCAAACTCTCGTGTACGGGCCCTTTCTTCTGGAGTGGGCAGGCGCCGTGGCAGGGAGATGGTGCCGTCTGGTGCGACGGTGACTGCCTGAGGATTGACGCGCTGCATCAACTCCGCGACAGTGCAGACTCCATAGTCCACGGGGGAGAATGGCCGGCCTGTCACCGCGTGGTACAAGTGTGGCAGCTCGTGCAACTGCACTGCTCGCCCCGGTTGCCCCTTCAATACCTTCACGAGATCTGATGTCCAACGACGGCTTTGTGCCGCCGCCGATATTGTTATAATACGAGATGAGCCTGAGCCCAGAACCTGAAATAAATAGATTACTTGACAAAACCTCGAAACGCTAAAATCTTTGATTGATAGACAAGAAATTTTGTTTCATCACTTACCACGATAGCATTACCGAGTGCAGCAAGTAGGTCGGGTAGTTTAGTGAAGCCGTAGTCGGCTACACGGCATTGGCGACCGAAATGGTGGTGGAAAGCTGGTATAAGTCTGAAAAAACAAAATTAGGTTATAAACAAAAAACTGAATAATTGATGAAAACCAATGAACTGATAACCACAGCTACATATTATAAATAAAGTTTAGTGATACTGACTTGCTGAATGGTATAGAGCACCTAGGCGCCGTACGCAGCAAGTCAATGAGTTCTCTTTCAAACAACGCTAGCATCGGTTCTAGCGCAGGTGCAGTGCGTGGCCGCTCGCGTTCTCCACTCGAACGGGAGCTCTCGCCTGGAAACAATACTTTTATTACGAACACGGAAAGAATAGCAGACAATTGAAAAAATTGAATCTTTTTATCCTATTGGCCGTCACAGAAGTCTGTAGATTTTAACGCCAGACTATGCACGTCTAAGATATCACGAAGTTCTTTTAATTTATTACCTTTCATTTTCTATGGCGATCAAAAGATTAAAAAAGTAGGTAGGACGAGTATTTAGTCTTGTATCGTAGACTTTCACAAACTACACATTTCATGTAGTAAAAATATATCGAAAAAAAGTTTGTGTTAGAATGGTTAATGTAAATAAAGTGTACTGACTATTAGCAGCCTGAGGCAGAGGCGGAGTGAGTGCGAGAGGCCTGGCCTTCCACGTGAGGTGTCGAGAGGGCGCGTCACGTACGTCCAGTCCCTCCACGCTGCGCAGGAGTAGTTCCAGAGCCACGCCGTGACGCGGGTCGCAGACTAATGCATCAAAACGAGACTCGTAGCACTCCACGAAACTGTAATAGAGATTGTTTTGCTTACAGATATATACGAAATATATAATTTATATAAATATAATGTTTTCAAATTACGAAAAGTAATGTGAAAACCGCTTTGTCAAACAGGAGAAGGCAGACAAAATACACAGTTAACTTTCTGGTTTCGTGAAATTGAAGGTTTTCTCAAGTCATGATAGAAAAAGTATACACTGAACGTACTGTTTAGATACGATATTGATTGTTTAGATACTGTATAGATTGTATTTTAGAATTTACTCGGTACAAAAACGAAGATTGTTTATAAATTAAAACATTATTACAGATTTAACTTACCTTAACAACGGTAAAATTCCTCCATGATTCTCCAACAAAATATGTACATTCTTAGCCAGAGTCGAGATCTCCATATAGACGGGTTGTAGAATACGGCTGCCGTCTTCTTGTCCGGTGCTCATGGACGCGTGTATATGGCACTTCCAGGGCGCCTCCTCCATCTCAGAACTAGACACCGGTGTTAGATCCACCAACTGAACCATTCTACCAAACCCTTCATGTATGATTACTGTGTCTTTAAGCTTAGCTATATCTGAAGTCGTCAAAGCACAGCAATGACGACTGGCATAAGCATCCCTCAGTCTCAAAAGAGGTAGTGTATGATTCTTTTGATCAAGTAAAATGGCTCTTAGTCTAGCTCTTAGGACGTCTAGATTGGGAGCCGGGGAGGGCTTGCCTAGAGACAGTTCTAGGCGTCGCCCCGTCCATTGGTTGTCTAGACGGCGTTTGTGAATGCGAGCGATTGCGAGCCTTGCGTCCCATTCTGAACGAAGCACTACAGTCGCTAGAGGACCCTCCCCAGCCGCCCAAACAGTTACTCGGACGGTTTGTACGTATAAGTTGAATAGCTGAGTCAGCATCTCCTAAACAAAAAAGAAATAAATGTGATATAAATCTCACTTAGAGTTAATTGTTCATAATTGAAGAATCATGCAATTTAATTTCTTCCTAAAAATACGTTTACATGCGAATATTAAATTTAATATTAATTAATTAACTAAAATAATGGTAATTACCTATTACTAATTTTGCACAGCCAGCCCGACTTATAAGATGCAGTGATGGGCGTAACTAGTTATTTATGTAATCTAATTAATAATTGAATTACATAATAATTTAATTAAAAAGTAATTTAATTACATTTTATTCAATTACATTGTAATTAAGTTACTTTGGATGTGCTATGAAATTAATTATAATGTATTTCATTACAAGATAATTTGATTACAAAGTAACCTAATTACATAGTATTTAATTATATTATAATTGTTTTGAATATGAAATGTCGCATGCTTGCATCACACAGTTGCGATATAGGTGTACTGCAAGTGCGGCCCGTTCGACGTCATAGGGTAGTAAGTATAATGTGCGGGGGAGCGGGGAGTTCTATGCATTGTGCTCGTGCGTCGTCGCTCCTAGCCACCCCGCTTC